GAGGGGAATTCTAGAGGGAGGAGATTTACCAGAGAACTTTGGCGCCGTACATGGACTGAACCAGGACTAAACCAGGTCTAAACCAGGTCTAAACCAGGTCTAAACCAGGTCTAAACCAGGACTAAACCAGGACTAAACCAGGACTAAACCAGGTCTAAACCAGGTCTAAACCAGGTCTAAACCAGGACTAAACCAGGACTAAACCAGGACTAAACCAGGACTAAACCAGGTCTACACCAGAGCTGAACCAGGACTATAACAGGACTAACCTCGGACTGATTCCAGGACTGAAGAGGAGAACTAAACCAGAAGTGAACTAGGACTAAAACAGGACTCACTGTCAGGTCGGTCTTGAAGGTGACGCAGGAGAAAGGAGCGGCTCTGCTCCTCACGGAGGGAAGAGCGACTGTCGCCCGATCGCGCTTTACGGTCACCGTGCTCCGCGGGCTCACGGTCCTGATTTCAGCAACTATTTGCAGGTACCTGAGCCGGTGTAAGACTCTGTTACAGCGAGTAACTTCTACCTTCCTTCAGCGTGTCCAGAAGTACAACTTTTTGTGTGATGGTTTCATCTTCCTCTGTCTTTTGGGCGCGAGCGCAGGAGCCTTTGTCGGTGCAGAACATTTCATCGACATTGTGGATTTTGTCGGGGAGAAAACTTGCAAACATACAGCACTTCAGAGGACTGTAAACCAGGTCTAAACCAGAACTGACCCAGGTCTAAACCAGGTCTAAACCAGGTCTAAACCAGGTCTAAGCAGCGTAGACTTCTGCGTCGGTCCTTTCGCCCGCGGTCACCTGACGGTCTACACGGGCGTCTCCGGTGTTTCACCGCTGCTGATCTCGCGGTGATTTTAGCGAATTTGTATGAAGAAAAACCCACCACTTCAATCCAGGTTAAAAAAACATTGTAACGCGCGTTACTCACATTTGTACCGAGTAAAATATTACTATTTCTTCCCCTGTGATGCCGAACATTACTGCGTTACAGCAAAAAAGCAATGCATTACTGTAAATCGTTACTTTTATAACGCGTTACTCCCAACACTGATCTTCACCCATTACGCAGCGACGAGAAGCGCGAACAAGGACCTAAATTTAAGCAGTGCAAACTAACTCCACAGTAGAGGACGAGATATGCAGTAGTTTTCTTCAGAAGTGCGCAAAGGGTATAGTTACAATTTATGTTTTTATGCAAATTAATGGCCAATATTATTAAGAAAATACTTTTCAGTCATTGAATAACTTTATATCTATGTTCATTCATATTTTAAAACAGAGTAGGCAACTATACACGGTTCAGGTATAACTCCAAATGCGCACGCAAATAAACGCACAGCTGATGTCACGAAGACTGACCTGCGCTTCAGTTTCGCTTTTGTTTCTCGTTTTCTGCACTTTATATAAAAGGCAGCGCATGGAGCATGTGCTCTTACTTTGATTAATAACTTTACGCTTTTGCTACTCGGAGGAGGACGGAGGAGAATTATGGAGAACTTTAGGCAGATTCGTTTGGATACATCTTTACTTACTTACATCTTATATATTTACCAATGAGGAGCAGGGTTTTTGCGGAGTTTTGGTTCATATTATGTTTGGCTTAAATGTGACTGGATGTGGATTTATTATGACGCACTTTGGCTTTGAGACTCTATAAACGCCCCGCACTGGAGACTGGGTGTTTTCGGGTGGATACAAGTTTCACGCTGCACCTTGTTTCTTCAGCTCATCTGTTTTACCGGTAAGAGACACACTGCACTTAGTTTGGACACATGTAGGACATGCTCAACATGTTAAACATGAGCGCTGTTTGTGCAGTACATTTGCGCAGAGCGCAGTACTGACGCGTGAACACCTGCACTACTGATACACTGAAGTGAAATTAAAGTGTGTGTTGGCTCTTTGACGCTCATTATTACCAGTTTTTTAGTACTTACCAGTATTTACCGAAACAGAGTTTCGATACCCAACGCTACCTGCACAGACTATAGGCTCGTGCAAGTCCAGTTCTATGGTGTACTGGCACTAAAATATTTGGAATGTGAAATGTGCAAGTGAAAGTCGGTTTCTTAACCTGTGGGCGAGGGTCCAAGGGAAGGACTTATAAGGCTTTATATTTGTGAAGCTCATGAAGCCAAAATTAACTTTAAACATACAGAAAGTAAATCAGAAGTAATGCAAAGTAGTGTAACTCCATTACATATGAGGGACAATACTGCATTACAAAATGTTACACTGCAAAAGGCAATATGTATCACAGTTTCAGATTAACTTGCTCATTGGTCCCAGCATTGGTCCCAGATGACAGCAACCAGGACTATAGATGTTCTGTCATATTTATCTATAATCACATTAGTTCTAGTTGTCACCTGCCCATATGGGTCTGACAACCTGAGACACGTTGAGGCTCTTAGATCTGAGTGGAAACAAGAGAGAACAATTTAATGAGAAGACCAATGATAATCGTTTTCATCTCATATACATACAAATTTGGACACACTTTTTCATGTATGCTTCTTTTTTCCCTCCATATTTACACTGTGGAGTGTAGTGTGAAATGATTTAAACTTGTTTTATATATTTGAGATTCTGCCCCACTCTCTCAAACCATTTAGTCATTGTGGTCATGTTATGTTGGTATTCATATGAAAAAAAGTTTTTATATGCCTGTGCTAGAGTTCTAGTCAAGACTGCGTTAACTGAGGCCAAGACCTGTCCGAGACCTCAGGGTCCTGAGACCAGGACAAGACCAAGACCTCTGAGGGTCGAGACCAAGACCACAGCCCATCGAGACCAAATCATGACCATCTTTGTCATTTTTGACATTTATTTGGATTTTACAGTTATTTTGGCACATATATATCAATGTTTTTAGAAATCTATCTCCATTTTATCTGATAAATGTTAATTTAAGATTAAATTAAGACAAGCAAACTGTACTGTACTGAACACTGCCCTTTTTTAGACTCTCACCCACAGTTTGAGAACCTTTTCTTTAAGAAAACTTCCATTGGCATTTTACACAAAACTGCTTCAAAGTGAATAAAGTGGGTAGGATTTTTAAACCCGTTTTGTTTCTAACTGGAGTTACTTCTCTTACTGGTTTTGCAGTGGGATTTACCACATTTACCAAACGCATGTCGTGACAAACATTAGTATTATTTTTCTGATCTGTGGACATTGAGGAGCCCGTTTGTGCTATATGCAGGGAGGAGCGAGAGCGCGAACAGGAGGAGCAGATGACGTGAGGCAGATGAGCAGGTAGAATGTTTTAAAAAGTTTAACCTGCCCTGTGATACATTCTGGTACGAGAGGTACACGCTGTTGCGGACAAGGCACGCGCGCTGGGGGCGCTCCACACAAATGCACAGGCTGCAGCGAGACACCCCGCACGCCCCCGCACGCCCCCGACGCCCCCGCACGCCCCCGACGCCCCCCGCACGCCCCGCACGCCCCGCACGCCCCCGCACGCCCCCGCACGCCGGTACAAGTTTATTGCTGAGAGCAGTGGCCGTAATGAAATATGATCGCACCTGTCTAAAGTCAGACCTCGAGTCCGAGACAAGACCGAGTCCAAACGTGGTCGAGTCCGAGACGAGACCAGTAACTCGTGTAACCACAGCCGTGGCGGTTCTACCGGCAGCTTGCAGCAGGACGCACACGCGCAGCTCTGACTCTGTGTTTCTCAATGAGAAAGTTGAGCCGCTTGTATCAGGTCTACAGTTAAACTAACAGCTGAACACACTTGTATTTACCTTCTGTACAGGCTGACCACGGCAAAAGCCACGATTTAAAAAAGTAAATTTTAAAGCTCTTATTAACAGTCTTTCTGGACCTGGGCCCTTTTACATGACACAGATCTGCCCCAGGAGCACGTTGTCCTGACGGTAAAGGCACAAATACAACCAAAGATTCATGCTCTGTGTATTTTGATGGGGATACGTGTAGAGTGTCAAAAAATAGGATGGATCCTATTTTCTGAAATCTACGCGTGCAGGACACGTTGCTCCATACGTGCGTCTAGCACCTGCAGTGAAGCCGTCCTCATTCACTTTCCATGCATTCTAAAAGTTAAACGTCCAAAAGTTGCAGTTTTTACGCTCGCATAGAGCGAAATGTACGTGCAG